CCCCAAAACCCCAAAACCCCAAAACCCCAAAACCCCAAAACCCCAAGTGTAAAAATAATGGTTGGTGCGAACAAAATAAGCAAGTATGGCTTGATAAAGAGATATTAGATTACAACTTCAATTTCTTGTTCAAAGCGTTTCCTCAGGTGATATATCTCATCCTTTGAGAGTCACTATTAATTGTTGACTTCTGGTTGTCTGACTCAGACACTGTAGGAGAGTCTTGGTTAAAATGATATCTTTTCCTCATCTTTTCAAAGTCGCTGATGATGGCTTCGTAAATCACCCTAGAGCTGTCATACTTAGGCTTATCAGAGGACAATATCTTCTTAGGCTGTACTATGGGAGGATATTAGAGATTTTTGAAAATTTAGGATTTTTATTAATGTAGAAGAGACTTACAGAAATCTATATTTCTTGTGCTGTTCGGCCCTCTTTTATGTTGAAAATCCATTGGCATGGTAATACTATTTTTAAACCTACTCTTTCTTCCTCTAGCTTTCTTTGATGCTATAAATAAGAGCTCTTTCTTTACCATTTAGTCCATCTATTGATTTAAGTATATGAATTTTTGTTTGCATATATCTCTGACGTTTTGAATTTGAGTTTGGTTTGTTTCTTCCTAAGTTCTCTCTTTTATTTTCATCCTAAAAAGGGTTAAAAAATTGCTTACTTGGATATTTTTCAGAGATAGAAAGTTCTCCTGATCCTTTTCTATTGACTCTTGTGTCTATACAAGTTATGATAATCCTATACCATATTCTGATCAGCTATCTTGTCTCTGTTTGAAGTGCGTCTCCCTCTAGCTGACTCTATGCGATTTGTTAGTTTTTATGGTTATTAAATTTTAATTTCATAGTTCAGATTTTTAACTGTTTTACATAATTTGGAGGAAAATACTCCAACTTTACAAATCTGTTCAAATAAAATTTTATTAAGTTTTACTGATCTAGAGCACTTCAATTTGTCGATAAACTAAGAGAATTTAAAAATCAAGGATATCTTCGTTCATAACACTAGTATTCGATCAAATATACAGGGAAAATGCTAAACCTTCTTTTGCCTGTTACTTGAGTATAAGATAGAGCCAGAAGGAAATTTTTTATTATAAGCCTCAGAAATCATCATCAGTTTATATCTAACATAAGAATTGAGAAAAAGAGACTGATTAAAATTCTTTTCGAATTTTTGAAATCATAAAAACTCGATTTTTAATTTGGTGAAAGATCATAATTTACTAAATTTGATATTCAAATCTTTTTCCTCTGATGTAACACCAGAAGGATATATACGAATAAAAATAATTATACTCCTAATGCTGTATTGTTCTTTTTGATTTTTGCTCAGTAAATCTGACATAATTTTTCTAAACTTTTCAAGAATGTATTTGTAAAACGGTGTTTTATCAATTCCGAAATTAGATTATATGTAGGTGAAAAATGCTAAGTTTTGATGCTTATAGTTTTTAATAAAAACTTTAATAAAACCAAATCGGATCTGGCCAATAAATTTTTTAAGATTTAATAAACTAAAACATGAATAATCTTCATCCAATGTAATATTAATAAAATTAAGTTTTTTAAGACTCTCTTACTCATAAAGCTAACGAAGATGATTTAATATCAAGTAATTTATTCAGATTACTCAAAGCATTATTTTGCTCAAAAAAACATTTAAAATGATAAATTTCATGCTCTTATCATACTCTATTCTTCTTCTATCACACACAAAGCCACAAAAGTATCAAACCTCCTTCCTCCACCCTCATCTCCACCCTTCCTCTTCTTCTGCCCACTCCCCCTCTACATACCCATACTCTTCAACCACTGGTCACCGTCATGCTAGCAATCCCCAATATCTTTTAAAACTGGGCTTAGATTTAAAGTCAGAACACTGGAGGTTCTAAGCACGTTAGAGTAATGAGAGTGGGGTTTTACTAGGAGATGGGATAGGAGAGGTCGTGGGTTTTGGAATTTTGGAAAAAGGGGTTAGGGAAGATGAGTTTGGGTAGGGTGAAATGGGAAGAGTGGAGGTAGAGGAAGGAGGTGGAAGCGATGTGTTGGGAGTAGTAGTGTGGTAGGATGGGAGAGAGATTGAAAATTTGTGTCAAAGTTGGATATAAGTTTTTGAAATCTTAAAATAGTATCTAAAACTTTTGTTCCCTAAGCATTGTGATATAACCAGTAAACTCTTCTAAACCTCCTAAAGCTCCTCCAAAATCCCAAATATTCCTCCATTCCGTTGCCCCCATTCTTACTTCTCTCTCACAGTCTCCTCCCAAGCCTGCTCACCCATTTGTTCTACTCTACTTGGTCCCAGTGAAAGCTAAGCTTTGACTTATCTTTGACAGTTACGAATTTGAGATAGAACAAATGGGCAGTTGTTGTAGTGGAAAGAGAGTTTAGAGGTGGAATTTTAAGGGAGTTGAGTGCTTGAAGGGGGGGTGTTAAGTGGAAGGATGGGTGAGTGCTTGGAAGGAGGGTTTTGGAAGGTGTGGGAAATGAAGGTTAAATTGGTGAATGGGATCGAAATTGGGGAAATAGTGTTGTCGAATTGGTGAAGGGGGTTGAGATTTGAGGAGTTTTGAAGGTTTTGAAGGTTTTACCGGAATGAATAGATGCTTACTTGGATTTCGAACTGCAGGGGGAGTGTTTTCTGTCTGTAAAGGCTCCTTGAGGCGTCTCTCTGTACAGCAAGTGCTAGTAATTCCCATTATTTACTCAAAAATTAACTTTAATAAAATTATTTATATTTCAATTAGAATCCTCTTAAAAGGGGTTTTGGGGTTTTGGGGTTTTGGGGTTTTGGGG